TCTTCATAACTGGGGAGAAGCCTTCCTCTCACCCCCATGAGTGCCAACGTTGTTGTCAAAGAGCAGGCGGCAAAGCTTGGGCCTCACACGAAGGCCTCGGGCTGCGCCGTGCTGCCAAAGCTTCGCCCCAAGCCCGACCAAGGGAAAGTCGTCCTCTCTGTAGGCTTCTTCTCTTACCTCCGGAGCCTGAGATTCCTGTGCTTGACCCGCTGAGTCCAGTCCAGCTGCTGGAGCCGGAGGGCGGACAGATGGACTTAAACCACGCCTAGGGAGCTGCCAAGATGAGACCCGGGCCAGAACGCGCTCCTGTGCCCAAGAGATGTGGCTGCGCGCGTTGGGGAAACTCAAACGCAACCCAGCCGTACGCTGCAACGCAGGGAGGGAGCCGGGGAGCTGTGGGGCCGCCAGCCTGACTCTTCCCATCACGCTGACCCAGGAGGAGCCACCGTTCCCCCATCGCAACCTGCACGAGCCGAAAACCCCCCCAGCACCTACGTACCTTGCCCAGGGCGATGGAGCAGGCGGCCAGGCCAATGAGCCCGCCTTTCTGGCTGTGGGGGTGCTGGGAGAGCGGGAACTCCTGCGACAGGATCTGGATCACGTGCTTGATTTGAGACGTGTTGTTCTGAGCCACAAACTCTCGCACCAGCCTGGAGAGAGAAGAGGAAAGCATCCAGGGGGCTTCAGGGTCTGCCCGACACAAACGCTCCGGAGCTCGGCTCCCTACAGCTGTCCGAAACAGGGATTTTCAGCCACGACAAATGCCAGAGAAAGTGCTACCAAAACGGGGAACGCTGAAGTGAAACCAGAGCTCTCCCCTCACACAGAGACCGCTCGGCTGGTGCCTCGGCGGGGAACTGCTGCCCACCAGACACAGGCTCAGCATGAAGATTTGACCCTTGCAGCCACCCAGTTCAGCTGGCACGCCGCTTCATCACGACAGGACAAGAGGAAGCTCAAGCTGCCTCAGGGGAGGTTTAGATTGGAGATGAGGAAAAATTTCTTTACTGAAAGAGTGCTCAGGCGTTGGCCCAGGCTGCCCAGGGCAGTGGGGGAGTCCCCATCCCTGGAGGGGTTCAGAAAACGTGTGGATGTGGCACTTGGGGACATGGTTTAGCAGGTGTGGTGGGGTTGGGGTGACGGTTGGACCTGATGATCTTAGAGGCCTTTCCCAACCTGATTGATTCTGTGATTCTCAGATGGGTGAGCAGAGCCCACCTCATTTTTGCTCTGGAAAATACTTTGCCGATACATCCACGGAGTAAGGGAGGGGGCAAGGCACACTGCAAGCAGGAAAATGAAAGCACACACAAGCTACGTGCTCCAAAAAAAAAAGCCCGTATAATTTGACGACAGCCTTTACAGAATTGGCAGAAGCTCTTTGTGTTTGTGCAAGATTCTTATCCCCTAGGAGGGAGCCAGTTCCAAAGGCTTTACTCCCAACTCGGAGCATGGTGGGGTTGGGGTGACGGTTGGACCTGATGATCTTAGAGGTATTTTCCAACATTAATGATTCTGTGATTCTAAATGCTCCCAGCATTGAACTTATGGCATTCC